TTATTCAAAGCAGAAATCCAATTTTAGACAATGATGGAGAGTTGAACATAAAAGCATATACGGGTGTGCCGTTAGTATATGTTGCTTCTAAAGACCCACTAAGCCCCTTAAATATAGATGCAGATAAGAAAAAATCAACCTGGAAAGAATTGCAAGAATTGCAAGACGCTAATGAAAAGTCTAGTGAAAATATACTTGGGGCGGAAATTAATGAAAAGCCTAATGACAATATACTTGGGATGGGTATTGGAGAAAAATCTAATGATAATATACTTGAGGAGGATGCATGTATTTTATTTCCGATTGCTGAGGTCACATATAGTAGTAAATATTTAAAAGATTTTCATAATATAACCAATGATTATACTGAATATGGTCAATTTTTTGCAAATAAATTACTTGTTGGAGGAAAATTGGTTCTTAAAAACTTTGCTAATGCAAAACCAAAACAACACGAACATTTAAAGTCGCATTTGGTCTGGGCATTTGATGCATCCTGCTCAAACAAGGAGAATCCAATAGAAGGGGCAACTATTTATGATTTTCCTATTATTGAAACAACGAACGAGGATAAAATAAAAACTCCAAAAGACCTAGCTAGGTGGATGAAACGCTTATATGAGGATAATGCAGCAGAAATTATATCGTATGAGGAAGTTGTCCCTATTTACGCATTGATTGAGAAACTTGAAGATAAGTCTATTAGATTTACTAAACGCTTAGTTCCTGGCATCACGCATAAGCATAAAGAGTTTACTCTAAAAGATTGGACTAATGACACACCATCGACAAATTTACTAACATGGATTAATAAGTTTAATTTTCATTATGGAGTTTTGGTTGACCAATTTAGATTTTCATTTGCTAAAAAGTGTGCTATAAATTTTATTCAAGGACCAATTGTCACTAAGCTTAATTTATCATATTTACAGACAATTCGACCCAAAACACTTATAGAAGAAACCTTATTAAAGCATGATGTTATTAGCAAATTAGATCCAATTCCATTTGTAACAATTGCGGAAAGAACTACTTCGCAAATTAGCAACATAAAATATTTCTTTGTGAGGCAAGAAATTGTTAAAATTTCACTTGAAACTTATGATTGTATTAAAGCTTCATCGGATTTTGAACAAGCTGTAAAGGATGCTCTCGATAATATTAAGCCTTATCAAAAGCTTCAGCAAGTGTTTAATGATTTTGGACATTTTTTGCCACAGACAATAATTTTGGGCAGACAACTTAAAGAAATGTTACCAAATCCCATGAAGTCAGATTCACCAGACGATGATAAGATCCAGATTGTAGCTTCATCACAAGATGATATTGATGAAGCGTTTGAACAAATAAAAGAATCGAATTGTAAGAATTTATTAGGATCAGATGGAAAGATTAGAAAACAAAATAAAATTTATGATTGGCTTAAATTAAATGAGAATGATGATAAATTAGTGGATAATATCCGAATACAAAATATTCGCCCACTGTACGAAATTCTTGAAGAAGAATTGCGACATGAAGTTGAGATAATTTGGAAGAATAGATTAGATAACAGAATATTGTTAACAGGTTTCACTAACATTAGTAAAGATAACCTTACTGAAGTTAACTTTACTGAGGCACATATTCGTATTGATTTTAAAGATCGTTTAGATGATAATTGCTTTCATGTTTTTGGACATGTTGTCAATGATGATCATGATAAGTTAGAAGGAATAGTTGTGAGATTTGATTTATTTGATTATTATGGATTCTCTGCATTTGTTACTTTTAATCAAAGTGTAACAAAGAATATTAAAGAATGGTTTGTATATTTTTAATGTTATAACAATTTATACAATTTGATTAATGCATAAAATGTTATATTTACGATATCTATTAAATTGTTTTTCTTAGCCACATAGCATGGTTAGTTGTCGGAAAGCCTGGATCATTGGGTGCTTTCAGCTTACAACATCGAAAAATAAATATTGGTTTTTATAAAGTACCAGTTGGCTCTATAACTGACAATCTT